GCACCAATATGAACAATGGAAAGAGAAGCCCTTTGCAGAACACCCCTGTACCCATACAAGCCCTGGAGATTACAAGGAGGTGGCTCTGCAGAGGGTCAGGCCCACCAACTTCGACAGGACCCCCCTATGGGTAGGACTGAATTTACAGCCAAGGAGCAGCGTTACCTGCCCCTTTTTGGACCAGTCTGGTACACCTAGGCACACAACAGTGAACTTTCCTGCCTACAGCACACTAGTCTCATCGACAAACCCGCAGTGCATAAAAATGAGGAAGGGGACCTTAAGACTTGGCTCTGGGGTTTCAGTAACAAATCCAAAGGGTGCCAAATTTATCCTAGGCCCCTGTTTAAAAGAAAGTAACTGCAGCATTCTAGGGCAATAGGCCAAACCACAAAGGTGGCACCAAGTCAAGGTGTGGTATTTTGAGGACCAAATGCCTGACCTGGTGGCCAAAGAAACTATGGCTCCAATGGATAAAGGATGAGATCCCAAACCTGGAATGCAAAACTAAAGCAAGGGTGGGGGAGAGGTTGGAAACATTCCCCCAAATAAGGGAACAGTTAGATCCCATTTTTTACAACTGGAAGAAGTAAAAAGACTCTGGCAGAAGTGACCTTGACAGCAGTCTCAGTGGCCTCTTCCCCCCCAAATCATGAATCCAAATCCTAGAAAGCAGTCACAGGATCCTCTCGTCTTTCACCTTCCATCACATGCAGTTTTGTTCCTCTTGGCCATTTTTATAACAATAGGTGAGAGACCTTATTGCATCTCCAAAATAGAGGTACAGTGAAAAGGCTAAAGCGGGGGGTGGGCAGGGAGGAAGCAGGGCAGATGTACTCATTCAGCCCTCCAATTCAGAGTGTGTGGCAATGGTCTCTGCCTTACCTATATACATGTGACCACAAAGACCACAAGAATCATCCCATACACAGCAGCCTCCTAATCACAGTTGGAACCATTCTTCAAGCCACGCTTCATACTCAGCCTGGTCAATCTTCTTGTAGTATTACGGCAACACAAGGGGCGGACAACAGGACTGTTCAGAGGGAGACACAGAGAATGCTACCAACTGTGCACTTCACTGACTATCACGCAGATCCCTCTCCTCCTCGCAACTTCACAAGGCATCCTAAGAAAAACAGCACTGCCCATGATCCCCTTAGTTAGGCCTTCACAAGAAGCCACCTCTCTGCTGGGCCCATCTGTCAACTGGCCTCACAAATGGAAGAAGACTTAACAGAGAAAATGATCTTTCAAACCAAGAGCATTCTCTAAAGGGAATAAAAAAACTGAATCTGGGTAAAACCTGAATTTAGGTATTGATCCCCTTTCTGCATAGCCACCATTGTAGATTTCATCGGATCAGACCCCCAGCGCCCTTGACAATTTCAAAGCAACTAGCCCTCTCCTCCCTTCCCCCCCCTTTGTTTTTTTGGGTTTTTTTGCATGGCAGGGCTCTTAGCCTTGTGTCGGTCAGCTTTCAGGGGCCTGGTTTCTAGGAAGCACTGAAACACCTGCCCTCCCAAAAGTGGAGGCAACCCAGAAATCACTGGCTACCTTCCAAAAAAAAAAAAAAAAAAAAAATCTTAGCCAGCAACTTCATACTTAAGACAGACCTCAGAATGCTTTCAAAACTCCCCACATTTGCAAGTATACGAGTTCGCTCCTACTGTCATAGAAGGCCACGGCCACACTTTAATTTACTTCAAGGGAAATAAGAATGGGCTCTTTCTAAATGGGAGATCATTTTCATCCCCTGCTGGAATGCAGCCACCTCTGGGCAATGGCTTGTTTAATGCCATACGGCAACAGATTAATATGATGACGAGCAAATTAAGTTCAGCAAGGGAAAGGCTCAGAGGGGCGAAATAAAAAACTGCTCAAGTGCACACAACTGGTATCAGAAAGATGTAGCTAAGTCTCGTCTAGGAGAGGGTTAGCTCTGCACTCAGAGGAAAGAGGAAGCCAGCTCTTTTGCTGATATTTTAGTAGGTTTCTATATGACCGGAGCAAAAGAAAAAAAAAAAAAGACCAAACATTTCAGGTGCTGCAAACATATAAACAAAATACATTCCACCCCATCTTCAGAGGAACTGAGTCACTGGGGTTTGAAGGCAGAACATAGTGCTCAGCTTTCTAGCCCAGGTTAGCACTCGCTAGGTTTTTCCCCCCCTCTAGCTCCAGGTGTTTTTGTCACTATATCTGGCTGGGTATCCCAGCCCGCTTCCCTTGATGGTGATGGTATGTTACTGAATCGCCCTAAGTGGTACAAGAAGGGAGGGGGAAGCCCACCCCCCCCTCCCCTCCCCTCCCCCAGGATCACAGGCCTGGAAATGTGCGTGGGAAATGAACCAGCCTTAACACGTTTAGACTTTCAACACATTAAGCAGGTTGGTTTCAGCATCAAAGTGACACTATCTGTCTAGGCCAAAGAAAGCAAGAGAAAAGGATGGAGGGAGAAAGAATGAACAGAAAGGGGGCGGGGGAAAGAGAGAAAGGAAAAAAAAAAAAAAAAAAAAAAATCAGATAGCCAATAGGTGTTGAGACCTCCTGGCTGAGAAGGAAATGCCCCATCACAGCAGCAGCCAAAGAGTGAAAAAGCCCCTTGTCTGATGAATGAGGAACGAGCAAAATTGAGTCCCTCCTTTAACCAAAGGGGCCGTTTCTGGAGCTGTTGTTTGGACTGAGGAGTGGATTCGTAGTAGCAGCTCAAGCCTTTAATAAGTTAAAGACCATGTTCTAAAATATACTGACCTTGGGAGAAACTTTCAAGAGCAGGATGAAAGGAAAGGGAGACAGGTTAGGTTAAAAAGCAGAAGCCAGATTTTTGCTGGTGGAAAACAGGTGTAGCAATATGGTAGTCAATGGAGCAGTGACAAGTTATACCAGCAAAGGATCTGACTGTTTGCAAGCATATGGCCATGAGCCACAATTGTGCATGCTGGAAAGTAATTCGCTGTTTAAGCAACAGTATTTACAACTTGGTCCAGCTCCTGAGAGGCAACTTAAAACCTGAGTTGCAAGCTTCTTCTATGTGAACTACTTAGAAGAGGCAGGAGCACACTTATCTGTAATAACGCAAAAAGCACTAGAAGCAAGGAAAGTGTGGGGTGGACAGGTATCCCATCATAAGCCCTTGGAGCCTCAAGACCTAAACAGGCCCCATACCCAAAGTCAGAGGCTTTGGTCATGGTGGGCACTACAAGGCTCTGTGGAATTGTGTTTGCAAAGAGCTTCAAGAAGATGAGGCAAAAAGACTACACAACTGCAAGGCATTTCTGGGCTCATATCCCACTAGTGCAAGGCCCCCAAAGTCAGCATAGTCATGCTATATGGGAGGATGCGTGCTCAAGTTGTCACCCCTATCAGCATCATTAAAAATCTGACTTGTTTTAAAGTTACAAGCCTGAAAAAGGAAGAAATGATTTTAGTGTCTGCTGAAGCCCTGGATTCCTGTGACCCTGAGCATGTACCGCCTGGGGACCCAGCCTGTTTATGAACTCTGGCACCAGTTCAATTTGCTTCTCGGATTCTCTGTGCTTGTTCAACTAGCTGGCACAGCATCCAGGCAAGCCTGCAAAGGGGAACAAGACAGCACCAGGAGGAAACAGCAGCTGCCCAGTGGGTCCAGCCTGGCATGCCTCACACAGCCTGGCATCTCAAAGCCTCCCAAAGTACCCAGCTGATCTCACGCACGTGTGTATCTATGATGCACCAGGTCTCCAGGGACCCCTTGGGAGTACCTGACCAGAGAGGGCCCAGGGAGTTGTGGTGGCAGAGGAGTGCTGGGCACCCAAGCAGAAACAAAGGATGTGAGCTGGGCGAGGTGATCAGAGTTCACTACTGCTGACAGCAGCTTGCTTCCACTGTGTGCATACATGTGAGGAAGATCAAAGCCATGAGACGCACACAACCTGGTGTGGGCCAGATTCTGATCTGTTACACCAATCTAAAACACTTTGGCTCTTAGTTACACTGAGGGAAAACTCAAAAGGAAGCCCAAGGCACTTCAGTGGAGGGAGTCTGCTTCACACCAGAGGAGCCATGGCTGGGATCGGACCCTTGTGCAAAGATGGGGTTAGTTACTCTTGTCACTACTGCCCTTTGGTGCGCACCTGGCCCCTTTACCCCTTCTGGATAAAAGCTTGTGGGAGCAGAGCACTCTGAGGATCGCTCCAGTCACAAAGAAACTTTCTTTCAACAGACACCTGCAGCCGGGCCGTGCTCCTGCATCTTAACCCACTGCAGTGCCAAGCCCCTGCCACTCTGTCCCCTGCAGTGTCACAAGACAAGAACTAGGGGCCACAAAATGAAACCGGTAGGTAGAGAACTTAAAACTAACAAAAGGAAGTTCTTTTTACGCTGTACGTCATCCAAGTGCGGAACTCATTGCCTCCAGGTGCTGTGGACGCTGACAGTTTAGCCAGACTCAAGAGGTGGTGGGGGAAAAAAGGCACCAGACACATTCTTGGGGGGTGAGGGTTACATCCAGCAGCTCTGGAGCATGGGAGCTAGGGGCACAGCCTCTGAATCACAACTAACTAGACCTCAGATGCTAGAGACTGCAAGGGAGAGAGAAACCGTGGAGGGGAGGGAGGGAAGATCCAGGTCAGACCCAGTCCCTTCACCCTTTCAAGCATCCACTTTCGGACGCAGGAGATGAGGCAAGCCGGACCTATAGTCTGACCCAGTAAACGGCAGTTATGTCCCGCAGCTGGCGCACATATGGGGGGGGGGACAAAGAGGTGCCTGCTCCGCGCCAGGGAAAGCTAGCTCAGGGGTTGCACAGAGCCAGACAGACACAGGGTGCTGGAGGAGACCCATCTCGGGCAGCCTTCAAGCCCTGCACTTGGGGGAGAAGAGCGAAGGGAAGGGAACGGGCACCCCTGAGGGGCAGGGGTGCACACACACACACACACACACACACAGATAGGCAGGCAGGCTCCCAACCCTCTCAGCCCCCTCTGGGGGGATGCCCAGCGCTCGCCCCCCAGGCTCACCTGCCCTGCTTGGTGATGATCATCTCGGTCTGGTGCTTGTGGAACTTGGCCCAGAGCGGGTAGTTGTTGAGCACCACCTGGACCTTCCCGGCCACCTGGTATCCGGGCACC